ACCCAATGGGACAAGCGGAACGTGGACGGGACAGCACCTTATTGGCTGGGAGCTGCCCAGCTTAGGCGGGTGGTAGCTGTCCAATGAAGTTCGACGACTCCTCCCACCGTCCATAGGAAGCCCCAGGTACCCCTCTCCTACGTCCATCTAGCTGGGTTTTTTGACCGGTAAGCTGCCCCTCACCGTGTTTTTTTGCTGGATGTCTGTCCACTTGTATCATAAACGGTCTCACTAGCCGGTGTGCGTCGACCTTCGGTGCTGCGTATCAGGCGAAACAGTTTTAAACTATTCCCTGATGCAGAAGCTACCTCCGTTTCACTAGCTATTTTGGCGGTCTTTCTTAAGGCTTTTCCTAAGTTGACGTTTCAGTCTCTATTGGTTCTTATGCTGATCCTGGCAAATCGGGACTTTTCGCTTTTGTTTCATCTGGATTACTGCCTCCCGAAAGATTCAGTGTCTTTGGCAAACTTACCGCTGAGTCCCACAAGCAAAGTTTGTTGCCAAATGCTTGCCTAGGCGGTAGTTGTGCTGTGCCCAGCCAACGAATAGATAACGGCGATCGACTTCTTCAGTTCTGCGCAGACCATCATCTGTTCCTAGCAGGCACCAGCTTCCGACAAAGCTCTCGACGGACGGCAACGTGGAGCTCCAGTTCAACTGGTACGCCACCTCAAGTTGACCACATAGCAGTAAGTTATTGTTGGCGTGGCTCAGTGCAAAATTGCAGATCCTATTGAACCACCTGCTTTGGGTCTTATCATACATCAGTGTTGAGGCAGTTCACCCTTCGACTGACTGACCGGCGACGAATTCAGCAAACTCGTACAGCTCATCATGGACTATCTGTTCCAGCAGTTCGTGTACGCTATGAATCAGATCTAGTGCGTGTGCTAAGCGCACCTCACCGTGGTGATGTAGATGAGCAGTGGGAGGAGATTAGACGCGCAATGCATTCCGCAGCGAATGTTGCTTGTGGTTCTGAGTCTCAAACCCGTCGGAGGCATTGGATATCTCAATAGCCAGTAGTTTTGATCTAGCAGAAACGGCCAGTCCCGACCTGCCAGGATCAAAATAGAGTTAGGTGGCAGCTACAAAGTCGGCTCATGAAGAGCCTCAAGAAGGACCGTGAGAACTGGTGGGCAACAATAGCTAGTGAAATAGAAGTAGCAGCTGCACCAGGGAATAGTCAAAGACTGTTCCGACTGATACGCAATACGGGAGGTCGGCGAACTGCAGTTAAACAGTCTGCGATAAGACGGGACAAGCTATTCACAATAGGGATGAACGACTTGATCGCTAGGCAGAGTATTTCAGTCATCAGTTCAGCTGGCCTCGTAAACTCTATTACTACCCTACTGCGCAAAATTTTGACGCGACAGCACATTCCTTCATCTTGGAGCGGGTCACTGATCGTTCCCATTTTCAAGAAATGATCTCGCAATGATTGTGAAAACCAACGCGGGA